GTCCAAAAACACCTGAGTAACCCAAGGTTAAGAACCACTGCCCTACTGCATCTTAACTGGGAATAAGTCCTATTGAAGTCAGTGGGCTCCCTTCTAAATGCAAATGTATAAGATTCTGCCGTAAAGATTGCATGTCCCAAGAAAACTGAATTGCTGTTTCAGGCCAGGAAGTGCAGGCACAAATAAAAATGGAGCCACAGGACCCAAGTGCATCCTGGGAGAGCTTCAAGGCTGGTGATAGAGACTCCTATGTTGTCCAAGTGAAGACCGTCAAGGAGTTTCTGAGCGAGAAAAGCCCAGTGCAAATCAAGAAAGAACCTGAAGAGGATCTACAGCAGTCCTGGGAAACCCAGTTGCAGGAGTTGCTGAAGAGTGTGGAGTCTCCTCAGTCAACATGGAGGCCCCCAAAGTCTCCTGACCCGATATACGAAGAGGACATGGAGGAGCTCCAGGCCTCTATCAAGGAAATGGCTTCAGCCAGCCTGTGGCCTCGAGGTGAGTGGGCAGCTCCGTCCCCCATGCCAGCCCTTGGGGAAGCTGGTAAACCCAAGAAAGGCCTGGAGTCTTCCATGAAAGTGAAGGAGGAAGTTACGAGCGAGGACGCCACCCACGCGGAAACGCAACGCCAGCGCTTCAGGCACTTCTGCTACCAAGAGGCTGAAGGACCCCGGGAGGTTTGCAAGCAGCTCTGGAGACTCTGCCATCAGTGGCTGAAGCCGGACAGGCGCTCCAAGGACCAGATCGTGGACGCGCTCATCCTTGAGCAGTTCCTGAACATCTTGCCTTGGGAAATGCAGAGCTGGGTCAGGGAGTGGCGCCCTGAGAGCTGCAGACAGGCAGTCGCCTTGGCTGAGGATTTCCTCGGGAGGTGGCAAGAACCTGAGCAATGGCAGAACGAGGTGAGCACTCGCATTGCACGGAACAGACCGCAGAGCAGTGCTCTGTCTCTCACGGGGTTTCAGAGTGATTTGGGGAGGTGGTTGTCATGAAAGGGCAGCAAATTTAGTTATTTAATTATTAATACTGTGGTATACACTAGAACCCCGTATCCACAGGCAATAGGCTCCAAAGCTCCACCCCCGTGGATGCTGAAAAATGCAGACTATAGCAAACCCTATTTTAATATACAGTGTTGCCTCGCTTAGCGATTTTAATTGGTGCCAAAAAACATTGCTAAGCGAATACATCGTTAAACGAGGCAATCGCTAAGCGAGGCACCACTGTATTTCTCTAACAAACACTAAACATAGCACGGTCTCTGCCTCCCTCTTAGTGGCCAGTTCTGGTAACTTCATCTTGAGAAATATACATTGCTGGGATTTTTCTTTTAACATTTTCAGCCCGTGGATAAGTGAATCAGTGGAAACTTATCCTGCCGATAAGGGAGTCCTACTGTATTTACTTCTAGCGGAAGGCAGAGGCATTTGTGGGTCTTACTGCCTACAGAGATAAAGCAAGTTCCTTAAGCAACCGGCTTTCGCCTCGTCTTCCTCAGGCAGCAAAATATTGGGCTGGGGCTGTTAGGTACCTCAGAACAATGAATACATCTAGAGTCATCTCTACAGATGCATCTACAGAAAGCACTTTCCAGCTTAGCTCTCACAAGAGCACATTTAGCCTTTACCCCTGATTTACAACTTACATCCAGAATCACAACCTACATCCTCCTCAACAGTGTGTTCACTGGGATGATGGGAGTTGTGGTCCATGTTGTGTGGAGAGTCTCTGTTAAGGAAGGCTGTGCTAAGGACTCCACTTTCCGTCTGGATAGCCTGGACCTTTAAAAACTTATTAATGGCTATGTAGATATGCCAACAAAAGGCTATTCATTGACATCAGCAGAGCTGGAGTTCCTATGAAGATCTTCCCCACCACCACCTTGACCAGCAAGGAAGATGTATTGCCTTCCCATTGACCTCCCTCTCCCTTCCTACCCCCATCATGGAGATGCTGGTGCTTCTGGAATTCATAAATTAGCCTTTAATTTCACTGTAGAATCTCTTAAATGTGTGGCTATCGTGTTTAGACCCAGGTTTTGTGATACCACAAACATCTGCCTGCTATCACTTTATGAAGATCTGCCTCCTGATCTAAAGGATTGGACCAAAAATCTCAGAGGAAGGGGTGCTACTGAACTAGAAACTCTCCATGTGGGTTTAGGCAAGTGTCCAGTATTGTCAACTTGCAAGAACCCCGTTGAGTTTACAGCATTGCCTTTCTATGTGAGACTACACAATGGGAAAAATGCACATTTACTGGTTGTGAAGTCACACCCGGGAATTCAAGATTCCCCAAACAGGAGTTGTGGTCCAAGTCACACCCGGGAATTCAAGATTCCCCAGGGAAATTCACTTTTGCCAAGCAGAAGGAGTCAGCAGAGAAGAGAGGAGGACATTAGCAATTAGTCTTGTTTGCAGATTGTTAGCCATCCAGCTTTGCAGGAAGCATGACTACAATATCACTCACTGCCTTTACAACCTGCAAAGAAGTACTCATTAGCAATTTCCTCCTTGCTTTCAGCTTACTCCTTGCACTTTTTTATCCTCTTGGCCTTCTAGGTGTCCCAACACAATGGTACCAAGCCTTTATTAAAATTAAAATAAAACATTACATGAAAGGAAGTGGGAAAGAAGCAATTTGAAGGGCAATGGTGTTTTATCAAGGATGGGGCTTTAAAAACAGAACAAGACCCATTTTAAAACCCTTCTCTCTATTGATTAATTTAAGAAGTGCCTCCTGTTCTGTATTTGCTGATGGCAGATGCTTTCTGCATGGTCAGTGATGACACAGTCTAAACCAATGCAGATATATTCATTACCAAAAAAGTAGAAGCCCCAGTGGCAGAGGAAAACACTCAGGATGGAAAGAGGAACTCTAGGCTACTTCATATTGACTTATATATATTATGTAGTCCAGTTATGACGTGGGACGTGGTGGCGCTGCGGGCTAAACCGCAGAAGCCTGTGCTGCAGGGTCAGAAGACCAGCAGTCATAAGATCGAATCCACGCGACGGAGTGAGCTCCCGTCGCTTGTCCCAGCTCCTGCCAACCTAGCGGTTCGAAAGCATGCAAGTGCAAGTAGATAAATAGGGACCACCTCGGTGGGAAGGTAACAGCGTTCCGTGTCTAAGTCGCACTGGCCATGTGACCACGGAAGATTGTCTTCGGACAAAACGCTGGCTCTATGGCTTGGAAACGGGGATGAGCACCGCCCCCTAGAGTCGAACACGACTGGACAAAAATTGTCAAGGGGAACCTTTACCTTTACCTAGTCCAGTGATGGTGAAACTTTTTGAGCCCGAGTGCCCAAACTGCAACACAAAGCCAACTTATTTATTTTAAAATGCTACCACTGCAATGAAACTTGAATACTGAGGTTTTAGTTTAGAAAAAACTGCCCCACACCTCAAGGGTTAAATGCTTGGTTGTTGTTTTTCTAAGGGCATTATAAACAAATACTTTATGGGCCTCCAATTCCCCATCAGGCTAGACCCGTAATGGCCGCCATTGCACCCCTGCGCTGGACCACTGCACCAGCAGAGGGGAGTGCAAAAATTGGAGGATGGGTAAGTATTTTCCGATGGCAACTTACAGCTCATGTGCCCATGGAGAGGGCTCTGTGTGCCAGCTGTGGCACGCGTGCCATAGGTTCGCCGTTGCTGGTGTAGACAAAGGAAAAATCATATGAATCTGACTGTCCCAATCTAAGAACATTCCCCACATTATTTGTTAGTGTAGTCTCTTCATAAGGCCTAGCTTGGGCTCAGCGTGCATTAAACTATCTGTCTCGATGAGTGACATGAAAAAACAATTCCCAGCTTTTTCCAGAGCCTAGTTGATCAAATCTGCATCTTCCCCAGTCACAAGGGACTTCAGAGGACCACCCCGTCCCTGACACATACACATATTACCTCTTAAAGGATTGGGCCATGATCCCACCCCCACAACATGTGAAAAACTTCCTAGAAATGTACAGCCCTCCCAGGAAAAATCTGATCAGCCACTGCTAGAAGCAACATCTTGCAGGAATGGATGGACATTTGGCCTCTTCCCTCAGGGTTTTTCATGCGCTCTGCCTGCAGTGTGGATCTGCGCTCCACAGTTTCTGCAGTTTGATGTTGCTTTAACTGTCAGGAGGACTATGGAACCTTTGGGCTTTGTATGCTGATGAGGCATTTAGAATTTCTGGCCATTCATTCATTCATTCATTCATTTATGTATTTATTTATTTAACTTATATGCCGCCCACTCTACCCAAAGGTCTCTGGGCGGCTTACAACAAATCTCCTAATGCAGCAAAGAATCCTATGGACCGCACCAAATGAAACACCATAAGACTCCACTGAAGGCAGCCAAAGCATTTAAAAGCCAGGATCCTGACCGGTGATCTCCTAATACAGCAAAGAATCCTATGGACCGCAGCAAATGAAACACCATAAGACTCCACTGGAGGCAGCCATAGCATTTAAAAGCCAGGATCCTGACCGGTGACCTACCTATGTGTAAGAGAAAGCATATAAGCAGTTACAGCTGATTATCTCCAGTTAACAAGGTGCTGTCACATTTCTGGTCATGCAACCATTTGCATGCTAGGCACTTGTCTATAATCTCATTAATTAGCAGCAATTTGCTAGTGCAATTTACTTCACTTAAAATGTGATGAATTGCCAATGGGATTCTGGCCAATGGAGTTTCAAATGGCTTGACCTGTGCAGTGTAGATGCATTCTTGGTGTCCTCTGGTAGGTTTACCAGGTTCTGGAAGTGTCCATTCGTTGAATATTACAATTAATACTTCCCATAATAGCCTACGTATGGATGCGGTCCATAATATAGTGGGGAGTAGACAAGTTGGTGTCTTCCAAATGTTTCAGACCACAATTCTTTAATTCTCTAACCATTGGCTAAGTTGCCTGTCACTTGTACAAAACATGAAGGATCCTCGGTGCGCTACACCTCTCACATCCTTTCTGCCAAAGGTCTTATAATACAATGTGGATCTGCTTCCTTTGCAGGAACCACAGCTAGCGGTGGATTCTGTTGTCAGCACCCCTAAGACGCAGATCTCTGTGGAAACCAAGCAAAAGGGTAATTTTGTTTCTTTGGATGAAGTGTTCACAAGGTTGTGATTTTAAAAAATCCAATGAAGGTTCCACCAGCAGGACTCAAGGCAGCTAACAACAAGATTAGGAAAAGGTTCAAATAGGGAATCTAGACCACAGATCAACCTTTCCTTCTTACTTAATACATTTGTGCATTGACACAGCCTTATACATGTAGTTCCTTAACTTCTACTCCAAGTAAACATAAGAGATAAGCTGCACTCTTTGATTTGTCAAAGAGAGGGGGAACCTCTTCTTGCCTAGGGCTGAGCTTTCAACACAACAATAATTTTTTTCTCTAAATATGAATCAGCTGGATTGTTCTATGAAGATTGTCCAACTTTGGATAGAGCTGTGTTGCGCTCACAGGGGTGTGTGTCATGATCACATGCATGTCCGCAAGTACAACACGCCCCTCTGCAAACACGACATGCCCCCATGCGTGTGGGGGGGGGAGATCTGTATCCGCGGCCCAGTTCCAGGGAGCCCGTGGACCGCCCCTGATCTGCGGATAGGGGGTTGGGGACCCCTGCTCCAGAGGATCTATAGAGAGTAGGGTATCTAGTGAAATTATGCTGTAATATAAAATTACATGGAGTGGAAGTTAAGGTACAAGAAAGGTGGATCTGTGTGCCCACATTTCAAGTGAGGTGTGTGGGAAACTTGATCTGTACTTTGAATGTCCTTGCTGTTCGGGTTTTAATTAATTAATTAATTAATTAATTTAATTTCTATGCCACCCAATCTACCCAGAGGTCTCTGGGCGGCTCACAACAATTAAAGATCAATACAGTAAAAGATAAAATGATTAAAATACAATTAAAATACAATTAAAATTGCCATCATCAGGACCCACAGTTGATGTTATTTCAATAAAAAGCCTTCTGGAACAGGAAGGTTTTGACCTGGCGCCGAAATGTCATCAACGTCGGCGCCAGACGAATTTCAGTTGGGAGGGCGTTCCATAGTCTGGGGGCAGCTGCCAAGAAGGCCCTTTGTCTACAAGCCATCCCTCTTACCTCCTTGAGGGATGGCTCTTTCAAAAGGGCCCCCTGGCTAGATCTTAACTGCCGGGTAGGCTCATATGGATTTAAATTCAGCAAAAAAAAATTTTTTTAACTGACTTTTTTTCTTGAGAAATTTCCTGCTTTTTTAAAATGTAGGAACACACATATATATCATTGTTGGAAAAAATAGTCTGTCTTTTCTAAACAAGTTAAGGTAAGGGGGCAAAATTATGCCACCATGTAAATAAACAAACCAAACAGTCAACCAGAGCAGAGCAATTGCCCTCCTCCAGAAACTTGTTTCAGGACCAGATGTGTTCCACCCAAAACTAATTCTGCTCAAAGATAGGCTTAGAAAGCCATAATCTTTACTTGGCAACTACCACTCAGCTTGGGGACAAGGCACAAGCAGCGATGTCAAACTTTCAGAAGGCGGCAGGATTGACAGGTAGAATTGCAATGAATATTAACCATAATGAAGGATATAGAATTGCAATGAATATTAACCATAATGAAGGATGAGCAAAGCAAGGGGCAGCCTTGACATTTAATTTTTGTGGGAGAGGTAACTTGGAAAACCACTCGTGTTATGAATCATATAGTGGCTGGAAACACTGGGTAATAAAAAGAGAAAAAGCTTTAACGCTAATAATAGGCCATCAAGTCAATTCTGACTTATGTCAACCCTTTTCAGGGTTTTCCGGGTAGAGCATACTTAGAAATGGTTTCCCATTCTTGGGAGTGCCCTGGGGCTCTGCAGCTTGCCCAAGGCCACCCAAGCCGGCTTTCCTCACAGGAGGCACTGTGAGGAATCAAACTCTCAATCTTTGACTCCACAGCCAGATATTTAAACCACTGAACTAGCCAGCCATTTTTAATGCTAACACATAATTCTAAATACAGTGGTGCCCTGCTTTACAGTTACCTCGTTAAACGACGAAATCGCTTCACGGCGATGTTTCAAAGGGTGATTTTCGTTTGACGATGATCGGTTCCCTGCTTCGGGAACCGGTTCTTCGCCTTACGACGATCTAAAAACAGCTGATCGTCTGGTTTCAAAATAGCCGCCCGCTGTGCAAAATGGCTCCCCACTGTTTTTAGGACGGATTTTTCGCTTAACAGGGATCGGAAAATGGCCGCCCTATGGAGGATCTACGGTGGATGCTAAGGTATTTCACCCATTGGAACGCATTGAGCGGTTTTCAATGCGTTTCAATGGACTTTTTACTTTCACTTGACAACGATTTCGTTCTACAGTGATTTCACTGGAACGGATTAACGTCGTCATGCGAGGCACCACTGTAAGTTAGTGGGGCCTCCTTGAAATAAATTAAATGAATGTTGTTGTTCTAAAATAATAAAAATGAACAAAAACATCAGATAAGGGGAGTGTAACAGCCACCCTCACACTTCACAGAGTGGTTGCTACTTTACTATAAAATCTCTGCTGCCACCAACTTATCCTTAAAAAATCATAAAAGGACGAGTGTAACTTTGGAGAAACTTATTTTTGTGCCATGATAAACTTCTTTTGTTTTCTAGAAGTAAATGGGCATGAAAATAATAAAAATGAACAAAAACATCACATAGGGGGAGAAACTTATTTTTGTGCCATCATAATCTTCTTTTGTTTTCTAGAAGTAAATGGGCAAGTGGAAGAGCATGGAGAGGTGTCATTTCCCATAGAAAGAACAGAGCAAGGGAGACTTTGTGGAATATCCTTCCAGGGCCTTGAGGTGGATTTGATGCCTGGAAGTCCACTCAAGCCCAGAAGCCATTGGGAAAACCACCTGGGGAAAGCCACCCAGCACACTTTTCTCCATGAGGACAGAGATGTTGGCTTACACAAAGATGCCTTTCCAGAGGAGATCATCCAATTTGACATCAAAAAGGAACAGGCTGACAATAGGGGCTTTAAGCAGCATAATGGCCAGGCCGTGCAGATCTCTGAAAAACCGTACACATGTTTGTACTGTGGGAAGACCTCGAACTGCAAGGCAAACCTTGTGGTACATGAGAGAACCCACACCGGAGAGAAGCCGTATGCCTGCTTGGACTGCGGCAAGAGCTTCAACCGGAAGTCAACCCTCGTGAGGCACAAGAGGATGCACACTGGGGAAAAGCCGTACGAGTGCGCCGAGTGCGGGAGGCGCTTCAGCATCCGGTGCAACCTGATTAATCATGAGAGAATCCACACAGGTGAGAAGCCGTACATTTGCTCGGACTGCGGGCAGAGGTTTAGTCGGCGGCTACAGCTTGTCATACACAGGAGAACTCATACAGGAGAGACGCCGTACAGATGCGCCCAGTGTGGGAAATGCTTTACTCGCCGCTCTTCTCTTTTGACGCACGAGAGGATCCACACGGGAGAGAAACCAAACACTTGCACAGATTGTGGGAAAAGCTTCATTCAGAAAGGATACCTTCTTATACACAGAAGGATCCACACGGGAGAGAGACCCTATAAATGCACATCGTGCGAGCAAAGATTTCTCAATCGGAGCGATCTACGAAGACACGAAAAAATCCACGCTGGAGCAAATCCTGCAAGCTGCTAGAGTTATAACCATGAACCAGGAGTGTGGCTGCTTGCTTTTATTTGCCTGTCCAGCAGCCTGTGGTTTACTACTGGAAATGGAAATGCTTAATTCATTGTTTAAAAATATTGATGTTTTAAAAAGAAAGAGAAAATGTAAAAGGTACATGCAAGGGAATCAGAAGTGATAACAACACAAAACTGTGAACATGTTTAATAAGATTTGAAGAGATTGGTTGGTGCAGCTTTCCAAAAAGATGGGCTGGAGAATGGGGGACTATTTTGCTTAGGAAAAACAACAACAAAGAGGAACATAACAAAGGTTAATAAAAGGCATAGAAATAACAAGCCTATTAAGGTATGGGAACTATTTATGTGGAATGAATGACTGATATAAACCACAGGTGCCGACAGAGCATAAACAGGTTAGATGCCCAACTCAGAGCAGAGCACTGTTCTTCTCAGATAACCTTCAGAAAATATACTTCATTAACAATCCATTATTGAAATATGCTTGTCTGGTTTCCGGCATAAAAGGCTGGTCCCGATCCCTCAACCTCAACATCCATTTTGAATAATCTTTCCTTTTATTGCTCTGATACATATTATCAGCATCCAGAATGTGTAGGGGAGAGGTTTATATAAATTAAATACTTTTTTATAGTTAAAAACCCCCGCCACTTTTAAAGACAAAATTGAGAGAAAGACTTGAAAACATACTTTCTAATTTCAGGGATGTTGAAACACCCAAAGCCTTCTGCTTAGATGGGTGGATTTGTCAGGTTCACGTTCTCTTATAATTGAATTTTCATCGTCTGAAGTTCTTTTTGTCACATCTGTGGAAAACATTTGCTCATTTTAAAAAAGTTCTTATCAAAAAGAAGGCGATCACAATTCTGACCTTTTGCTAAGGGGACTTATTGTCAACCAGGAGAATTATAGAAGCTAGCGTTCGAATAAATGTTTGGTATAACTGGGAAAATAAGCAATCTGGATTGGAGATGGGCACGAACCAATTCACTCTGGGTTCGTCCCAGTTCGTCTCGCCTCGTCTGGCTCAAATCAGCCACTCGCCAGGCCCAGCGCGCTACCCTTCCTGCACCTCCTCAGCTGATCTACCAGTCCTGGCAACAGCTCAGGCTCCTCTGCCCCGCCCTCGTGGCTGATCGCCCACTCAGAGAAAAGGGCAAGGCAGAGAAGTCTGTGCTCTTGCTCCTGATTGGGAGATTAGCAAGCAATCTGGGCCTGTTGACTGGCTCATTGGCTGAGGAAGCGGGAGATGGGAACGGCAGCACACCTTTATGAACCCCCACCAGCTGGGACAAACAGGTTCATGCCTATCTGGATCTTGGGCCAGAAATTATATATTTACAGAGGCAAGGGGGACAGAGATCTGGTTTATATTTGTGATCATCACATTATTTTCCATTACTGCTTGTTGGAAACTATTTTGAGAAACTAAGGGCTGCGTGAGAACAACTGCTCCTGTAAAATTACATGGTTCATCACCTTTTTTTTGCTGTTTTTTCTGACCATTCATGTGATGCAATGCAACTATTTGAGAAACTAAGGGCTGCATGAGAACAACTGCTCCTTTTTTTGCTGTTTTTCTGACCATTCATGTGATGCAATGCTTGTCTCAATAAAGAAAATGACACAATCTACATTTTCCAGAGCTTTTTGTCCCTGCTGCCTTCATGATTTATTTTGTTATGGGAGTTTGTTCCTGGGGACAGAGTTCAGCAATGTAGCAGTGAACTTAATGTTTATGTGTTGCATTTCCATCCCTGTTTTCTCCCAGCCGTGGGATTCAAGGCAGTTTCCTACAGAATGAATTGGCCAAAACCTCTTCATTTGTATGCCAGTTTATGAAATAATAAGCTTCATAAAAGAAGCCATGACAGGGATGTGAGCTTCAAAAGGAGGGTTTTAAAGATTTCCTGAAGAGAAGCATTTTTGGAAGCTTGGCTTTTCAAAGGTCCGTCTGAACATGACCCTGGTAAACTCTATCCTGCCTTGAAAAGAGGAAGTAGCTTGCATTTTTGCCCCCCCCCCGAAGAATCTTAATTTTTGAAATGCAGTACACAAGTTCTTCATTTCAAAATTCACAAGCTCACACTATCAATCTGAAGAAGTGAAAGTGAGGAACACAGAAATGCAGTTTACAAAGACATAGTGGTGTGAATTTGTTTCAGCATATACAACCAAAAATAAACTAGAAGGCAAGTCTTCTATCATCATGAAAAAGGTTTGTTTTAGCATAAATTTTCTTCAACACATATCTGCTTTGTTGCTGTGCCTTTGACAAAGTGCCCCATGATATCCTGATTAGCAAGCTAACTAGGTGTGGGCTGGATAGATCAAGGGTCAGGTGGATACACAGTTGGCTACAGAATCATACTCAGAGGGTGATGATTAATGGGTCCTTCTCAAACTGGGAGTAGGTAACAAGTGGGGTACCCCAAAGCTCAGTCCTGGGTCCAGCACTCTTCAATATTTTTATTAATGAATTGGATGAGGGAATGCAGGGAATGCTTGTCAAATTTGCAGATGATACCAAATCGGGAGGAATAGCTAATACCCTAAAAGACAGAGACAACATTCAAAATGACCTTGATAGGATGGAGCACTGGGCCAAAAGCAATAGAATTATATTCAACAGGGATAAGTGCAAAGTACTGCATCTCAGAAAAATAAACCAATTGCACAGTTACAAGATACCTGGTTCAGCAAAAGTACAAGCGAGAAGGATCTTGGAATTGTGGTAGAGCACAAGTTAAATATGAGCCAACAGTGTGATGTAGCTACAAAAAAGGCTAATGCTATTTTAGGCTGCATTAATAGAAGTATAGTTTCCAAATCCCGCAAAGTGCTAGTCCCCCTCTATTCAGCACTGGTGAGGCCTCACCTTGAGTATTGTCTCCAGTTCTGGACGCTGCACTTCAAGAAGGATGCTGACAAATTGGAACAAGTTCAGAGGAAGGCGATAGGGATGATCAGGGGCCTGGAAACTAAGCCTTATGAGGAAAGGCTGAAAGAATTGGGCATGTTTAGCCTTGAGAAAAGAAGGCTGAAGGGTGATATGATAGCACTTTTCAAATATTTGAAAGGCTGTCATACAGAGAGCCCTATCTGGGCTAGGGTGACTGTCAATCTATCCAGCACTAACCAATTGTTCCTTTCTCTGCCTCTGAATTCAAAGAAAGACCCACCTCTCTGCTCTGGGTCTTTTTCCTGTTGTCTGTTGCAAGCTGCGAGTCTGTTGAACTCTGTTTGCTAACAGCAGTCATGTCTGTCAGATTGCTGTTTCATCTGTTCAATTGTAAGTAAGAAATCTTTTAATTTTTTTTACTACTAACCTTTTTGGGCGAGTTATTGATACCATAAGTGCCAGTTAATTTGTAAAGGGATGGACTACTCTGGGCCACTTGAAGCTATTCTGCTCTTTGAATCCCTGCACTTCTGGAATTTAATCAAACATTCAAAACTCTGGAACAGTTCTGGGGGGTGTTTTGTGGCTGATTTTAGCATTTTAAATTGTAATATTTGAAATTTGTTGGACGTATATTTCATATACGTAATCTTTTATTTTTTATTTTATTTTGATTATACATATTCACGTATACAGTGGTGCCTCGCATAACAATGTTAATTGGTTCCATTAAAAACATCGTTATGTGAAAACATCGTCAAGCGAAACACCGTTTCCCATAGGAATGCATTGAAAACCAGTTAATCCGTTCCAATAGGAGCCTATTGAATACATTTCAATGGTGAAAAAAAAATCACCAAAAATTCAAAAAGACTCAGAACGAAGCCAAATTACTTTAATAAAGGTTTTATTAGGTGCACTAACGATTCCAAGCATTTTAAACATTTTTTAAAATATTTTAGAATATTTTTAATATCGAAAACAGGGCTGTCAAAAAAAACGTTAAGCGAAACAGGGGACCTAAAACTGTCATCGTTAAGTGAAGCAAGGTCCCAAACATCGTTATGCGAAAATCCCCCATAGGAAACATCGTTAGGTGAGGCGGCAAAATTTCCAGCAAAGGCCATCGTTATGCGAATTCATCGTTGAGTGAGGCACTCGTTAAGCGAGGCACCACTGTAGATCTGAAAGGTGGTTGTCCAATTTTCTCTTGAAAACACACAGATGTGAGTAAAGAAAGATCCTGTCACTGACATCGCTCCTGTTGCACCCGTGTCACCATGCAAGCTATTCCAAGATACCCAAATTCTGGAGACTTCTTGGAGTTGGAATTTTAAAAAAACCACACACACACACAAAAAGGGTGCGCGTCTAGAAATCAGTTAAAATTGAGAGTGTTCAAGGCAGCATTGCCATCAGGCACCAGCTTCTGTTTACATTTTTGACATCAATTGCCACACCAGTTTAGTAGCATCTACTGACTGGAAGATAACGTCTACATCTGTCATAGGGTAAGCTGTGTCTGCCTGTGTATCCAAGCACAAAACAGAAGAGTCTGGGGTGCAGAACAGGCTGTGGGGTGGACATCATTGTCCTCCAAGAGCAACACCGAGCAACATGTGGCCCACAGGCCAAACGTGGCTCAAGAGCCATGAAATGAGAAACAGAAATGAGAAACAGGTAGTCTGTTTATATGTTCCCAGAGGCCTCTAGGAGCAGTGGGTTTTGCATGAGGGGCCTCGACCTTCCAAAACGCAAAAACGAAATCCAGTGGTCCCCCTCTGAGATACTTTCAGATGCCTCGCGACAAAGCAATGGCATAAAAACAGCCATTTGGGGGCTTTCTGTGACCCATGGAGGTGGCACAGATTTGACTCGGAGACCCTATATATGTTGTTGTTGTTTAGTCGTTTAGTCATGTCCGACTCTTCGTGACCCCATGGACCAGAGCACCCCAGGCCCTCCTATCTTCCACTGCCTCCCGGAATTGGGTCAGATTCATAGTGGTTGCTTCGATGACTATCCAGCCATCTCATCCTCTGTCATCCCCTTCTCCTCTTGCCTTCACACTTTCCTCCCATCAAGGTCTTTAGGCTGGGAAATTGTCTGCAAGGTTGCAGCCAGAGGAAGTTGGTATTGTGCCCCCCAATATTGTCTGCCTGGAGGGGTTGCTTCAAGGTGTAATGATGGCGCTGGTTCCCTGGTCTGCGCACGGGGAGACCCCGCCTGCCCTTGAAAAACCTGCTGCACACGAAGCTCTCCATGTCGTTCACCTTTACAAATGATGTTTGTTCCTCATTTAGAGGGCATCGCAGCAGAGCCTAGAAAAGTTACTTTTTGGCATCCCGCAACTAAAATTGCCACTATACATGCTTTCTGGGATACAGTGGGGGCAGTGAGCTGAAAAAAGTAACTTTTCCAATTTGAGTTTTCTCTGCTGCCCCCTCTGGAGTTTTCTCTGCTGTCCCCCACCATCTGTTTTTATTAATTGGACATCTGTGTTTGGTGGGTAAGTTATTGTTTCCTTTCATTGCTGTTAGCCACCCGGAGTAGTGCTCTGTCACTAGATTGGTGGAATAAAAATGTGATTAACTAATTAAATAAATAAATAAATAAATTTCCGTGGTCTGCATCTAAGCCATGGCTTACCCACCCTAACACAGGAATGGGTTCCACCAATTATGTGGTTTTGCTCTCCCAAAAGAGACATAAACATAATTTTTGTTGCATTTATTAGATGCATTCCTCACAATGCATTTTGCAACAGACAACAATGGGATAAAAAAGTTTAGAATTAATAAAACTCTCCACGTGAATCCCAGTGTGAAACTCACAGCTACTCCATTCAACCTGAAAAAATTACATATTATAACATTTAAAGTATTTATTTTCCACCAGATTAGTTTAAGGCAGGGCCCCGGGAGCAGAAGCAAACATACAAAAGATATCCTAAAAATACTGCATTTCCCTGCACAGTGGAGTTGTATTCCGGTGACTGCAGACATTTTTGGAACAAGGTCCAAAAATGTTTATAAATTACCAGTACTTATTTTAAAGCCATTTCCAAAAGCTTTTGATCACCTGTACTGCCCAGAAGTACAGTAGATAAATATTTCAGAATCAACAAAGTCTTGTTTTTGAGAACAGAAGAGCTGTTCATGAGGAAAAAAAGGAGGCCCAGGGTTTGGCAAACTGGTGCATCTGATCTTCTAAAATTAACATTACTTTCTAAATGTTTTTACACGATGAGGGGCATCGGTTTGCTTGCTCTCCCATTTAATACAAAAATAACGACAGTATTTTAATGCCCAGCTCTGAGCAAACCCTCCACCTGCTGGCTACTCGCTCCCAACACCCAAACGTCTATGTGAATGTGATGAGCTTGGTGCACTTGGGGACCTAACGAACTTTAGAGAGCAAATGAAAAGCAAACATAAAAGAGAAGGGGGGGAGCAGACATGTTGGTCCCTGAATAGACCTATAGTAATATCTTTATTCCTGGCTGGATTGCTCAGTAGTTCAGGTATCTGGCTGCAGAGCCAGCGGTCATGAGTTCCAATTCCCCACTGTGCCTCCTGCAAAGCAAGAGCTAGCCTGTGTGGCCTGGGGAAAGCTGCATAGTCCAAGGGCGCCCCCTAGAGGAAGAGAAAGGGAAGACACCTCTGAAAACCCTGGAAAGGGTCACCCTAAGACAGAATTGACTTGATGGCACATGATGATGATGATGATTAACATGTTTATTAGGACTAACAAAAATGCAACAACCAGGAGTCTTGTAGCACCTTAAAGACTAACATTGTTTTTGGGGCAAGGTTTTATCGTCAGCAGCCTACTTAATCAGGCAGGTTTCAGAACTTTATTTTAACTGCACATCCTGTGGGTTTGTTGTCCTGTGGGTTTAACAGCTAGCCAGGAGGATTTGTCAATGTCTCCATTTCTCCCCCCCCCAACCCATCACCTTGAGTTCTGATGAAATGTCCCGGACAACTAGAGGGTTCACATGTTTAACGATATTTTGAGGGCCAATATATATGTATTGCCGGGGCCTCTTGCCCGACACTTTCCACGGAGGTGGAAACCGCTAGGATTGCTCTCCTGGGTGGATTTTCATATGTCTATGAAAAACAGAAGAACTACAGAATCTTTTCTTGCACACAGAACATTCGTACGGTTTCTCTCCAGTGTGAATTCTCTCATGTACGACGAGGTTGGATTTTTTACTGAAGCTTTTCTCACAGTACGAGCATCTGTGAGGCTTCTCCCCCGTGTGTACCACCGAGTGTTTCCTCAGGTGAGAGCTAGAGACGAAACTTTTCCCACACTCCGAGCAACTGTACGGCCTCTCCCCGGTGTGGGTCCTCTCGTGGATCACGAGGCGAGATCTCTGGCTGAAGTTTTGCCCACAGTCCAAACACTGATAGGGTTTCTCTCCCGTGTGGGTCCTTCTGTGCGTTTTCAGCTGAAAGCTGGTCCTGAAGCTTTTCCCGCACTCCGAGCACTCGTAAGGCTTCTCCCCCGTGTGGGTTCTCTTGTGTTTGATCAGGGAAGCAATTTCCCTGAAGCTGTTCCCACAGTCAGAGCATTCGTGTGGCTTCTCACCTGTGTGAGTCCTTTTGTGAATGACTAGTTGAAAGCTGATCCGGAAGCTTTTTCCACACTCAGAGCATTCGTAAGGTTTCTCCCCTGTGTGGGTTCTCTCGTGTTTCACGAGAGAGGCCCTCTCACTAAAGCTTCTGCCACAATCCAAACATCGATGGGGCTTTTCACCTGTGTGCGTCCTTTTGTGGAGTTTGAGATGGCAGCTGATCCTGAAGGTCTTCCCGCAATCGGAGCATTCGTACGGCTTTTCTCCCGTGTGGGTTCTCTCGTGTTTAATCAGTGCACCCCTCTCAATGAAGCTTTTGCCACAGACGGAGCATTTATGGGGCTTTTCTCCTGTATGAATCCTCAGGTGCTTCACCAGGATCCCTTTCTCGCCAAAGGCCTTCCCACATACGGTGCATTCAAATGGCTTCTCTCCTGTGTGGGACCTCTCATGTTTAATGAGGGTGGACTTGGCATTGAAGTTTTTACCACAGCTCGAGCATTTATAGGGTTTTTCCCCAGTGTGGATTCTCTTGTGCTTCACGAGATTTGTCCTCCAGCCAAAACTCTTCCCACACTCGGAACAGATGTAAGCTTTCCCTCCCGCGTGGCTCCTTTCGTGTGGAATAAGAGACATTCTGCAGCTTGAGATCTTCCCACAGCGTGTATATTTATGAAGTTTCTCCTTCATTTGGCTTTGGTGGTTCTCGGGGAGACCAACGGCATGATGCCACTGCTGTCCAATGTTAGGGCTGGTCTTTTCCCTGCGCTGGAGAATGGTTTCGCCCCCACTGTGGCCACCTTCCTCAAAAATGAAGGGCTCCGTTGCTCTCTTACCCACCTGCCTTTCTGGAACTTGCAGACTTCCTGAGCGTGGCTGGCAAATGCCCATTTTTTTAGGTTTTTCTAGCTGAATGGTCTCCTCCTCCTCATTCTTCAGCCCTTCCACACCACATTCTAGGACTAAAAAAGAAGTTGTTTAAGGTTGCATTTTGTGGAAGAGTTTTGGTACATACCTGTCAAATGTCAAACTGACTATGAATTATGCTATTGTGAGAGTTGGGGTAATGGCTACAGGACAGTTTCTTTCCCAGCCTTGGGTAACCCAGGTGTTCTTGGACTGCAACTCCCAGAAACCATGGCTAGCATCGCCAGTGGTGAAGGCTTCTGAGAGTTTTGGTCCAAAACAGGGAACCGATCATCACAAAGCAAAATTCCCCCATAGGAAACATTGCTTTGCGATCAAAAGTTCATCGTAATGCAATTTTGTTGTTAAACAAAGCGATCGTAATGCGAGGCACCACTGTATTTATATAGGACAAGGATGGGAGACCTGTTTCAGCCTGTGAGTTGCAAATAATGCCTGGAGATCTGCCAAAATTTCTCTGGACCTAAGCTTGCATCCAGCTAACGGTTCCTGTGTTTGTTCTGCTTTTAGAAACAGCACAGGAAGGAGATTTATCCTGACTCCCCACTACAGCTTAAAAGCTCCTCCAGTGATAGGGGAATTTCCCGCCTCCCCAAGATGCTTTTTGAGTTGCATCAAGGACTTAATGGAGAAAAGGGAAGACCCTTCTCTCTCACCAGCGGTTGGGAGTTAGGAGGTCATTAGATCAAGGCCACAAGAAACAATCCTCTACTACAGTGGTTCCCAACCTTGGGTCCCCCAGGTGTTCTTGGACTCAAACCCCCAGAAGCCTTCACCACTAGGTGTGTTGGTTAGGATTTCTGGGAGCTGTGGTCCAAGAACATCTGGAGACCCAAGAATGGGAACCACTGCTCTATTATATTAGAGTATTTATCCATCTCATCCCAAACTACAAAGCTAAACAACTTGGACATGTCGCTGAATTCCAACACCCATCATGGCTCAGCACTGGCCAGCATGATGGGGCCAAGTGAAGGCCAGAAACCCTCCATCCCCATTCAAACTGGCGGCAGCTCTCCATACGCTTAGGAAAAAAAGAGGATTTTCCTCCACTTCCCTGGTACTCCTTTTCAATGAAAGTGCCAAGGAGTGAAGCTGCTACCTTCAAAGCAGGTGCTGCACCACGGAGCTACATTTATGCTTCAGCAAGAGAAGAGAACTTGGCCTTCCAAATATCATGAGCACTACTGGTCATTTGGGATGATGACAGTTGTAGCTGAAGGAGACAGAGAGAGGTAACCTCCCCTATGGAAACCCAGCCTTAGGAGGCCAGACGGAAAGAACTGTATATGTTTAACCTTGAGAAAAGAAGATGGAGACAGGACAGCACTTTTCAAAGGCTTGAAGAGGCAGTCATAAAGAGGAGGGGGCAGGATCTGTTCTGTATCTTCTCAAGAGGGCAGAAAAGTAATAAGCGGGTAAAAGCTGCAGGAAACCAGATTTCGGCTGTTAGGAAAAAACTTCCCAACTGTTAGAGCAGTACAGCAGCGGAACCGATGACCTCGGGAAGTGGTGAGCACTCCCAACGCTGAAGGCGCTCAAGAGAAAAACTGGACAGCCATCTGTTAAATCAGCTTTGATGGGGATTCCTGCACTGAGCAGGACTCGGTGGCCTCAAAGGCTTCTTCCAACTCAAATCCATCTATGATTCTGTCCCATGCTACAACCTGCCTCTCGAAGGAGCGGGAGATTCTGGAGGGCTCCAAAACAGCAGAACTAAGACCCAGCCCCAACACACACACACCCAAAAAAACCACCGTTGGGAAGGATTGAGGCTGCTGTAATCCTTACTCAGTGAGTCAGCCTCCCAGTCACTCTCCTCTTTGACCTCAATCGGGAGCTGAACCTTCACAATGTCCAATGAATTTTCCTCCTCCTCCTCCTCCTCTTCTGATTTGGGGGACTTTACAATCACATGGTCTGGACAGCTGAGGATCTGAAACAGGAAAGCAGGCATAAACGATTCTGGCCACTGCGAGACGTTGCAGGGCGACAGGTAAGGCAGCTTTGTAGCCCACCGGATCTCGATAAGACTGCTACTGCCACGAGCATGGTCCATGGCCACGAAAGTGGTAAAACAACTCCTTAGGCGTCTCTTGTATCTTGAAAACCCTACTGAATCAATTAAAAACATGGCTGCTTAGGCAGGCCTTTCCATCAGATAATCCCTGACGCTCCTGACACCCTTTCCCTCTCTTATTGTTCCTTTCACTTTGTGTAATGTTTTATTATTAATAACTGTTTATATATTAATTTTATTGTAGTAATATTTTTTGTTGTTAGCCGCCTAGAGTGGTCCTGACCCGACCAGATAGGCGGGATATAAATTAAATAAATAAATAAATAATAAATAAATACTGAGATCGCTACAAGTCGTATGCAACTTATTTACTGTATTTTATTGATTCAAAATGTTTCTACCCTGCCTTTTCAACTTAAAAAAAGGACCCAAGGCAGCTTACCTCTGTAGAAGGCCAAGTTTAAAAAGGTAAAAACAGTAAGTATACAAACATTTAAAAAGGATCAAATAAATACACTAAAAGGGTAAACAAAACAACTCCAAAAACACTGAAAGCCAAAAAAAACCCGTGAAAGCCTTCACGAATACACACACACACGCACACGCGCGCACGCGCGCACACACGCGCGCGCGCACACACACACACACACACACACACACACACACACACTATAGAGATATCTCCACTTCGAAAT